AATTCCCATTTCTGGTTTCCCCTCATTAGTTCTTTGGGATGCTCCTAAGTAATGTTAAGGTCTAGCTTGGTAAAATATTTGGTCCGGATCATTCAAGAACTCTGGGCGGAAGAGAACCTAACCATTGCAGTGGTGCTACCCCCGAACTGCATGAGCGAAGTTCTTGTTTTCATATGGGGTCTAAAATAAAAAAGACATACTCTCCCAAACTTAGGATGCGTATGACTGCTAGACCAGTCCCTGCAGCCTCTCTCTCTGCTGTGGTGATGGAATGTCCCTCAGCATTCTCCAGTGTTTTGGACGTAATGACTCATGGGGGAGTGAGGCTGCAGGGATTCAGGTATCTTATTTTACACCCTAGATGAAAATGAGCACTTAACCCTTGCAGTGCCAGAGTTAGCCCAACTGCAAGGGTTCCGTTTTCTTCTGCCCAGAGTTCTTCTTTAACTAAATCCAATTTACAGTTGATGAAAATGACAAAATGGTAGGAAATTAGATGAGGCAGGCTGCCGTTACGGGGGACTGCTGTGCATATGCATGTACAGCCCCATTAGATATAGCTATATCCAGAACGATCACAAACATTTCTATCCTTGCCCCAACAAGAAGATGTTCTGAATGATCCAATATATACATGTATTTAGTAATTTTAATAATGTGTTAAAAATTATTTCTTTATCAGTTATCTTCGCTATTCTCATTTATCTTGTTTATTACTTGATATAGAACATTACCAAAAGGGTTTTTATCAGCCTGAGACGCTAGACACTAACATGAAACTTCTACCAAAGATATCCACAAGTATACCGATATTCACTGAAACCAAATCAAAGCTTTTTTAACCAATATATAATTGTAACAAACTGCTGACATCTGACACCGACTGACATCACAAGCTGGATACTGTTTATTCCCGAAGTGAAAACATGCTGTAAACACACACAGGCTCCTCCAACATGTTTCACCAAATGGCTTATTCATAGAGCTTGTTCTCTGTGAATAAGTCATTTGGTGAAACATGTTAGAGAAGGCTGTACTGTACTTCAAGAATAAACAGTATCCAGCTTGTGATATCAGTCATTTGTGCGGCAATTGTTTCTGTGAGCTCCTGGATATATAGTTACAATTTGGACTATCCTTTAGTAAATAATTTCTGTCTAGTACCATATATCCAATGACTTATGTAAATGCACATATATGCACATTGGCTAAAATAAATGAATATTCCAAGCTGGATTTTGGATATCTCCGTTTCTTACACTGGATTTTCCTACCAGCTTCTGGCAGAAAGATCCAACACAGATTAAAGTATTTTAACTTGTGCATTATCCCTTAAAGGTTGGGTTTTTTCCTTTGGTCTTCTCTGCAACTGATAAAATCCTTTTTTATATTAATTCATAAATAATATTTTTTTAAATTAATAAACAAGAATTTTAAACACATTATTAAATGACTGAATTCATGTATTTATTGGGTGATCCATAATATATCCTTATTGTCAGGGCAAGGATAGGAACATTATGATGATGAATTTAGTATAGTCTGCTTTCAGTGACACCTTATAATATTAGCGGATAGAAGATTTTTGAATGACCACAGCCCTGAAAAGCAATAGATTAACTGTAATTAGGATTGTATCCAATAAGTGTGACTACAATTGGTAGATGTGGCTAGTAAGCTCCAGTGACTTTCATAAGCAAGACTGGCTGATAGGGTAACCACACAATCAAGCCATGCGCTGCAATAAAATATTAACATGTAACCATTATCCTAATAATGAAAACAAAGGCACCTATAAAAATGCTTAGAGATGACAATCTACAAACAGATACTTCTAGCTTTTTATTATTTGCATACCTTTTTTTTTTTTCCTCCCCATTCTCACTAAGGGCAGTTGACTCCATCTCCCTTTGCTTCCTGGAACTTTGGTCTGCCTCCTGTAACATGTGACAGTGCACATTATCTGAGAGAGAAAATGCCTTTTCCCCCTGTGATGTCGCAATATTTTGCAGTTTACAGATTCGATTTCCCAGGAAGGTACTGATGTTTGTAGCTTTCCCAGGATGCATCTGTGAGGCCAGGGCTCACTCACCAGTGCCTCACTAAACTAGGAAGTGGAAAACAGTAATTTCAAATAAAAGCAACAGCATGCTGATGTGATTTTTTAGCAAAGGGTTTTTTTAAGGTCTGCTTTAACCTTAAAACTATTTTTGCAATTAGTCTGTCGGAAAGTCACTGCTTGATCACTACGATTTATTTAGGAAATCTGCAGATGACTTTATACACAAGTCTTACTTTGGAAGAGCTACCACATTTCTGCTTGCTTAAGTAACCCTGAGCCGTATTGGTTTCTCCAAAAATGTTATGTTAAAAAGGAACAACAAAAAGACGCTTCATCAGATGTATTTGTTGGCGGCAAATATTTGTTTTTGGCTTTGCTGCAGTCTTCCCCCACTGAAAATCATATGGCCTAATTATGGTTACTTTAGCCATAATAAAGCACATTTTTCCTTTTCTACATACATATAAGCAGGAATTACTTAAATATTCAATAAAAACAACTTGGTGCCATTAACTCCAAAAGTAAGGCTGGGGTAAATGTAATGTGCAGACACCTCTGTGTTCCTTTTGCCTCAAACAGCCTGTTTTTCAGTTTTTAAAAGTCCCAAGGTGTGCATTTTTCTTTCAGCAATGTCTCAGTTCCTAACATTATATCCTTTAGGTTTTGTATTCTACTTGGCTTACTAGATATTTGTTTCCAGGACCGATAGGGCTTTACATTGTGACGAATGAGGGGAAAAGGAATGGTATGCATAAATTGTTAGTATAGCATTAGGTTAACATTAGCGATGACTTATTCACAGGTTTGCATCAGCTGGGTCACACTTACGTAAGCATTCAATGCTTTTGCAGTGAGCACAAATGTCATTCAGATCTAATCTGGGGATTATTTTGGGAGGAAATGTATTTTTTATTTTTAGGGGAATACTTTATACAAATCTGTAGAGCATCAGATCACCTTTAATAGTGATCTTTTGCTGGCTTCAATCAGCCAACAATAGATGACTATAGCAGTAATCTCCTGCCTTAGGGAAAGGCTGGACAGAGCTGCAACAGCTCTTCCTAAGTCTCAGTACTGACAGAAAGTGTCATGACATCATCCGTGATGTCAGTACACTACTGATGTAAACACTATGTGGAAGTGTTTACATTCACTTCTACAGCGTACGCCTATGGAAGCATCCTGTCGAGGCATTGTAAGCCCAGGAGTTGATTGTTTCAGCCTGTGCTCAGTGCTGGACCACGGCTAACAGCCTGCGGTTCCAGTACTAGTGCCGAGAGTGTGTGTGGGGGACTCAGTCTAGTGTCATTTTAAAATGGCACTGGGACAAATAGCTGCTGTCCCTGCACCATTTTTTTTAAAAAGCACCCAGGACAAAAGTGTTTTTCCACTTCACACTTTTCCACTTTTTGTTATTGGGATAACACCTATTTTATATTTGTTACATATTCCCATTCACATAGCATCAGCTTAAAAATAAAAATGCTTCTTGCAGTTTAAATAGTTTTTACTTGGGTTAGAGTCTTCAGGGTTACAATTTCGTCTTGCTTCTAGTTTTTGAAATGTTAGGAGGGGCTGTGTGTGAGGGGTCTGAGGTGGCTTGTCTATTGTATGTTAATGAAGCTTATCAGATAAACACAATCCTCAAATCTCAGTCCCAAGTCTTTCTATTATGACAGATCACTGTGAAAGGGCTAAGAAAAAACTAGAATCACCCATCTTGCCTGACTTAACAAAACATCTAAGAGGTAAGAACTTTTTTTTTTTCTATTAGTTATTTTTCAGCATGCTCTGTGAACAGGAACACAGAACAAACATATAGAGTTGTTTTCTCAAATTTGACTGCAAATGGGGAAATACACTGGGGAAAACAGCAAATTGACAGTATCAGCTACTGATAACATCCAGCTGATAAAAGGTTACATTTTGTTCAACAAAGGTTTTAATTAAAGAGGACCAAAACTGTGGAAGCCATGCCAAAAAAGGGAAGTGGAGAGCAAAGTACTAGTTACCAGTAGACTCCTTGCAGCTGATGTCCAAAACTGACTTACCATGCCATGTCTTTGCGTGGAGTAAACTATCTTGGTAGAGGAACAGGGCTTTGTTTCCTAGTGTCAGACTCACACTTAATGATTTATATTCTGATAAACTGAAGACTGAAGGGGGATCACACAAGAAGCAGCAGAAAAGGTGGAAAAGGCACAGATTCACAGAACAAAATCAAGTAAAAGCAGGCAGATGCTTGCACTGCAGTTCCTCAGGTACAGCCTACTCAGATGAATAAGCAACACAGTTGTGACATCACCAACTCTCAGTACAAATTAAATGTAAATAGCAGTCATCACAGGCAAGAATCAGTGGGATATGCCTTAGACGATCTCACACTGCAGATATGCAGCAATGAGACTCCATACATAAGAGTTCCTATGCACAGTCACATGACAGGAAGTACACTGCAACTGCTCAGGAGGAATTCAGGGCAAAGGGTAGATATTTAAGGGTCACAATTGACTTATATTCTCTATAAAATAGCGAATATTCTGTTTTTGATTATAGGTTCACTTTAAACAACCTTAATATCTTCCACTTTAAAGTGCTTCATTTTATGTTGCTAGGAAGAGGCCAGTATAAAAATAAATGTAACTTTTAAAATACAGCCAAAAATTATTTGTATACAGGGAGCATCAATTATCTATACTGTATCTTCTAGAGTTATTAGTAGTAAAAGCTAGTTACTTATTATTGTTAGAAATAGCAGTATAATTGCATTGATACTTCCTTGTCAGGTAATATGTGAAGAATCCCTTTGCTGAATTTAATTTTAGGGTTTTATTAGGAAATATGCATTTACCATGACACTTTCTCTCTAAATTAAGCATACAAAAATAAAAGTAATTGTCATTTTTTTTTATAATAAATTATACAATATATTCTATAATAAATTACTCAGATAATCTATGTTTTTACAAAGATTGTGTTATTAAACCATGTGTGTTGTGCTATTATAATCATCGGACACAGAAATCTATTACGTGAGCCAACATAATCATGAAAAAAACTGATCAATAAACAATAGCAGATTATGTACTAAATTTGTGTTTAAAGCAGTTATGGAGTGTTAAACACCATTACATGTTCTTTTTTTTTTCTTCTTTTTACCGTAAGTATGAATATACACAGTGAAGTGATGTGTAAACTCACAAAGCAGAAGCAAGTCACCAGATGTCTGCAGTTAAAGGAATACTGTAGCACAGATGACCACCACTGACGTACCAGAGGTGGATAAGATTGTAATATGATGAAACATCCATTTCAACTCTTTTACACACAGCATCCCATTACTGTGCAACCAGCTTTTGCAGAAAATAATTTTGAAAAGTGCTTTCTTTTGGAGAAATGAATGTCCATTGCGTTTGACATTGTGGTTGAACACAGAAGGATTACAGTTCTGACTCAGGAGTGGCGGCCATTACAAAGCCACTACCGTACTGCCCGTTAGATGTGCCAGTATAATCCAAAGGAGAAGCATTTTCTGGGCCTAGATATGAGCGATGAGTTGGCATTGGAGATGGAGTCTCACTAGGCACTTTACTGAGTATAAAGCGTGTTTCATCATTATCCTCCAAGTTGGAAATATCCTTCATTCTAAGACCCTTCTTGTATGATACAGATAGTCTGTTAGAACCATCTGGTATTAGTTGGAAATGTGCAAGAATGAAGATTACAGGTACTGGAAGTATTGCCAATATTATTAGACAAATAAGTAATGACAAAGCCCAAGGAGGATACGGCAAAAATTGCTCGATTGCCTAAAATGGAGAGAATACAACATAAATTCACTGAAAAATGTACAGAACAGTTAAAAGAAAAGTTTACAAAACAGGTGAACATCGACAAAAACGTAAGCCAACCCATAGGAATCAAATGTTTTAGTCCAACACCAAACTCTGCCAAAGTGGAACTCCTTTTGCTTCAAAGGATACTGTTCTATAAAAGCCATGTGAGAGTCTTTTTGCACTTTGAAATGATTAAAAATAACTTCTAATCCTCAGCTGCAACCATCCATGGTTTTTGTCATTAGCCAGATGAAAAAACAAATCACATTTCTTAGGGGTACTCAAGCTAAGCTTTCATAAACGTCTTTCATCCTTTGCCCCTACTGCTGTGATTTGGTAAAGCTTTACTCTAGACAAACAGCTAAACAGGCACTTAAAATACAAATGTATGCCGATACCTTAAGGCTGGGTTCACACCTGGGCATACGGAATATGCGCGTTTGACGCATGTTTTTACAGCAATTTGTGGTAAAAGAAACGTGCGACAAACGCACGTTTACGAGGGCAGGTGGGAACCATGCCCATAGGCAATTATTGGTTTTCACATGCTGAGCGTTTTACAGCACGTCGAACAGCGCTGTAAAACGCCCAGGTGTGAACCAGGCCTAAGAGGTTCCTTCACTGGAACTAAGGGGCCAAGCCAAACCCCTGAAAAACAACCCCACACCATAATCCCCCCACCACCAAACTTGACACTTGGCACAATGCAGTCAGGCAAGTACCGTTCTCCTGGCAACCACCAAACCCAACACGTCCACCGGATTTCCAGACAGAGAAGCGTGATTCGTCACTCCAGAGAACACGTCTCCACTTGTCTAGTGGGGCGTGCTTTACACCACTGCATCCGACGCTTTGCATTGTACTTGGTGATGTAAGGCTTGGATGCAGCTGCTCGGCCATGGAAACCCATTCCGTGAGGCTCTCTACGCACTGTTGTTGTGCCAATCTGAAGGCCACACGAAGTTTGGAGGTCTGTAGCTATTGACTCTGCAGACAGTTGTCGATTTCTGCGCAATGTGCGCTTCAGCATGCGTTGACCCCGCTCTGTCATTTTACGTGGCCCACCACTTCATTGTTGAGTTGCTGTTGTTTCCAGTTGCTTCCACTTTGTTATAATACCACTAACAGGAGACCGTGAAATATTTAGTACCGTAGCAAGGAAATTTCACGGAAGGACTTATTGCACAGGTGGCAACCTATCACGGTACCACGCTTGAATTCACTGAGCTCCTGAAAGCGACCCATTCTTTCACAAATGTTTGTAGAAGCGTCTGCATGCCTAGGTGCTTGATTTTATACACCTGTGGCCATGGAGGTGATTGGAACACCTGAATCCAATGATTTGGAGGGGTGTCCCAATACTTTTGGCAATATAGTGTATATGTTTATGGGAAGAGCAGTTAGCATCATTCATACGGAATAGATTGCTGTGCTTAGAAGATTAATGCACAAATTATACTGGCATCAATGCAATAGATACAATTTATTCGTAATCAACTTGAATATAAAAAGGGAGACATTGATAATATGGATTTTTTACTTTAAATGAATGAAGTGCAATAGCTGTTTCAAACAGTCATTGCACTTCATTTAGACAGATGTGGTTTTTATGTTTTTTGTAGTCCACCCTGACATATTATGCAACATTTTTGGAAGAAACAGTTTCAAAATTGTGGGGGAAAAAAAGCATTTTCCCATCCTTGTTCCCTAAGCAACATTTACACAATTTGTGCAGCCCCAGATAGTTACCCCAAACTATAAATGACAAAATGGCAGTTGTGGATTGAGGGTAGAAGACAGAACCCACAGTGCTGGGAATTGTGCCCTAATACAAGGTGGTTGTGGATTCAGAATGCCTAGAACACCACCGGATAAGGTCACCCACAGCAGTGAAGTTCAGTAATATCCAGCGGATACATGTAGGGTAAACACAGTAACTTCCATCTCCTCCAGCCCATAGCAGTGAGCAAAAGGTGATTGCAGGCAGCATCCCGAGACCAGGGAGTCCGGCGCTTTACAGCCTGGTGGGGAATACTGCAACAATCAAATGAATCCACTGGTCCTATGTAGCCCCTAGTGAACTAAAACATTATATAGACATGCCGCTTCATAGCAAGGAATGTGTGTAAAGCAAGGCTGTCATAGTGGATTCTGATCTACAGTATAAAGAAAACACATATTCTTGATGACTGAACTGGGGAGACTGCACGTATGTAGAATATCTAGTCTGCCTTTCAGTCACCTGATTGAAGATCTCTTTGGATGCTGCGGAAAAAGAGCTTTCTGGCTGTTTTGGGGTTTGCCCACAGCTTGGAGCTGTCACTTTGATTGTTTGTTTTCTTGCACTAAGTGTCGTCTTCCTAAAGCTACGTATCCCATGATCTATGGCTCATCAGCTGTCTCCTCAATGAACGTTCGGGAAATATATGTATATTTTTTTAAATCCCTCTCTCTGGTGTTTATAAAGGGAAATAGCACAGTAGATAGACCACTGGGTAGACTGCTACCAACAGGAGGACTGGACATTTGGATGCCAAACAAAAGAAAGGACGCAGCCCCACCTAGTGGTTATACCCCACAACTGCCATATAGATTCAATTCTAGCAAAACAGTACAAACAAGAAAATAGATTTCAAAACTATTGAACACTGGCAACACGACCACAAAAAATAAAAATATCTCCCAAGAGGGGCGAGAGTTGTGTCCTTCAATTACCATAGAAGAAAAGGCTTTTGCATTGAAAACAAAAAAAAATCCTTTTTTGTCCTTTGTGCATTGAGGGACATAGCACTGTAGATAAAAGACCACTAAAACTATCAACCATGTTGCCCATGTATAACACAATAGCGAGGTGGTGTGGCCCTTTAAGAAAGCTACAAAATACCTCCAAAAGGAACTTCACCTGTGTTTAATGCAGAAGTGAGGTGTGACCTACCCTGCAAACTAAAGAGTTCCTAACCAGGTCAGGCTGTAGTTCAAAGTCACTGCAGGCAGATCTCGGCAGTAGAGAACGATGAAGTGTTAGTCAGCAGATGTACAAAAACAGTCTCGACTGCAGAATAGTTCAAGGAACATGCAACAGAGAGCAGTGAACTGATGCTGGAAATGACTGGCGATAAGTCTATGAAGCCCCAGTGACTTCCTGTAGGACGCTGCACTACAGGAGAATTACCAAGGGAGAGGCGTCTTACAGTCACAGCAACATGGCCTTTAGCAAAAAAATGGTGAAACAGAAAACAGGACCAGTCTTGCAATAGTAAAAAATCAAGGCCCAAGAGGATATTAAAAAGATTTCACCAACCCCTCCTCCCTTTTCTTGGAGACCAGTATATGAGCAGTGAACAGCCTTACTCACCGGCTTCGATACATTTGCAACAGCCGACCTGGAATAAGGGCCTGATTGCTCTGGAGTCTAGTGGGGTAAACTGTGAGGACTTCATAGAGTAAGAGATATAACCCGTCACCTATGCAGAGCCCCAGGTAGCCCAAGCACCCTCCAGACGTACCAGCGTGATATCCAGTGCAGGGTTATGCCAGTAAAACCCCCAATTTCTTTGTTTTTGATGCAGATCAATGACAATTTCATATCTCACTCTGCCCTGGCAATCCTTTGTCTCTAATGATTATTATGAAACAGAGATTGTATACATAAAGTAAAAACAGATATATTTAGTTAAAGGTGTATTAATATTTTGAGTCAAAACCATTATAGTTTCCCTTTATCGTTCCTTTTTACATATAGTGGAGGCCCAGCAGGAGACCATCTAACTCGTGTTCACAGCATTGAAGAAAGCTTTTTTTCTTTGCATAGTTTGGAGCATTTTTATCTATTTTATCTACTAAGCTGAATACTGAATGTCTACCATGAATTACTTTCTCATAGAATTTTAGCAACATAATCACTGTTCTTACTCTCTCATTTCTACATTGTATAGGTTTGGTTCTTCCCAAAGGTTGTCTGCATTTTCCCTCAGATATTTCTGGACTGTATCACTAAAAACAAATTACTCACCAGTTCTTTGATCCATGCACTGTATCCTGGAGGACTAATTGCCAGCTGTATTACACTAGCTGATAGGAGAATTGCCATAATGATTGGTGAAACATACTTCCACGTGTAAAAGTAATATTTGTATGGGCGAAATCCAAGCATTTCAGTGAGCTCCTGCATAAACCTGAAAGTGCAGAGAACATTTGTTTAAACATGAGTTATTGGTTATAATCAGTACCCTGCAATATATGCAAATTTCCCTATATTTTACCCAATTAAAATGCAGCAAGTACAGAACATTAACGGATGATCTAACAACATATTAAGTGTGTATCCAACTCACAGTTTGAGCTGACAAGTTGAGCCAACAACACAAAACCTTTGCTGCTCTGAACTCCCAACCAGGATAGTCAGTAAAGCCTGCTGGACTACAGAGATCCACCTATCTACACCCCTCTCTGTTCCTCTCCACATGCATACACTGATTTCTTTCCCAGCAAAACAGTACTGCTGCCTTTACACCTTAGATCATGCACACACTGTATGTAAGTAAAGGACTTTTGGGAGAAGTAGTTATGGGCCCCCACAAGAAAAAAAAAAAGTATGCTGTGACATGATCTGGACGGTGAGGTTGTAGTGTGAACTTTATCATGTAAGCATAGACTGTAGGCAACTTTTTTCCACATGGGAAATGTTGAATGTAGCACCCCAGATAGCAAGCAATTGAGCTGCAAGTTTGAAAATGACTTGCTAAACTATTGCAGACTTGCCGAGCTTCATAATTTTGTTGCACAATTACAGCAAGTCTGCATTGCAAGTCTCCAGACCAGCGAGCTTGCAGAGCTCTTGCTAAGACCTGCAGGACTCTTGCTGTAGACTTGCTAAGCAAATTTGCTTCAAATTCAAAAAGTGTCAACAAGAACTTGTGCTGCGAGTGTTCTGCAAGTCTACAACTTGCCAGGAATGTGTGCAGCAAGTTAACAAGAATTACAATTTAACCCTGCCACAAGCTTGTGGCAAGTTATCCTTGCTATCTGGGACCTTATCGCAATATTCCGCACATTGCAGAGTGGAGATTACTGTGCTAATGAAAGCAAATAAGAAGCTCCATATTATGCTAGGAAGGGCAAGACATTTCTGAGACACTAGCAAAATTATACCCAACCCCCCCCCCCCCCCCCCGAACCCACCACCACA